TTTTTAGTGGAGACAGGGTTTCACCCTGTTGGTCAGGCTGATCTTAAACTCTTGACCTCAGGTGATCTGCACGCCTTGGCCTCCCAAAGTGCTGGGATTACAGGCGTGAGCCACCGCACCTGGCCAGTCCTGCACAACTACTCTTACTCCACAGAGCTCAGTACAGTTTAAGGCACAGCGAAGGTGCCCAGCAGAACTTTGATTATTTCTCATGAAGCATAAAGTTTTGCTCCTTGGAAATAAATCCTCGAATCAGAGCCTTCCTCAGGAAGCTGGCTCTACAGACGACCCAGGGGAACAGGCCGAGTGTTCCAGTACCCGGGATTTCTTGTTTTATGTCATTTTTTAAAAACCCATGGTTTCCAGTATACTGTGGAGTCCTAGGTTTATTCCCAGCCTTGGCCTCAGTTGTCAGGCCGGCTATTCCTTTTCATCTGGGGGCTTCAGCTCCTTCCCATTTTACCCACCAACTCCTAATCATCTCTCCTGCTCTACTCAACCGTCTTTTTCTGGAAATTCTTCCTGCATAACCTAATTTACAGCAGTCTCCTTCTGCTAATTTCTAAAGCTGCCTGTTCTTATCACAATTTTAATCAAACTATATATTTTTTTCTTTTCTGAGTATCACTCTGTTGCCCCCCAGCTGGAGTGCAATGGCACAGTCTCAGCTCACTGCAACCTCTGCCTCCCAGGTTCAAGCGATTCTCCTGCCTCAACCTCCCAAGTGGCTGGGCCTACAGGCATATGCCACCATGCTGGGCTAAGTTTTATATTTTTGGTAGATACAGGGTTTCACCATGTTGGCCAGGCTATTCTCGAACTCCTGACCTCAGGTGATCCATCTGCATTGCCCTCCCAAAGTGCTGGGATTACAGGTGTGAGCCACCACGCCCAGCCTAAAGTATACTCTTAACCCAGGGTGAGCACACACTGCTATGATCAATGATGGTGTGAAGTGATAGGGAGTTTTGGGGGCTGTGGAGGGAATATGGTCACAGAAAGCCTGGTTTCACTTGGCTCCAGCAGAGAGACTGTTTCTATGAGTGTGTGTCCAGTGTTTGTGGACCTCCCATATCCTCACAGGAGGCCAGAACCTGGAGTTTTAAAGTGAAATGCCCCCCAATATTTGTACTGACAATTTTTAAAAACAATGTAGGCCAAACAAAACACATAGGTGGGACAGGCGCAGTGGCCCACCTATTACACGCCTGTAATCCCAGCACTTTAGAAGGTCAAGGCAGGCAGATCACCTGAGGTTGGGAGTTCGAGACCAGCCTGCCCAACATGGAGAAACCCTGTGTCTACTAAAAATACAAAATGAGCAAAAACAAAAACAACTAAAAAAACAACCATATAGGAGGCTCCGAGTTTGTAGGCAGCCTGTGGTTTAACATCTTTCTATCCCGTTCAACTCAGCTCCACGGGGCACATGCCATCTCCCCTCTGCTCATCACAATGTCTGGATCAAACAAATGAAAAACAGAAATGATGGCCTCTCCCAGCAAAGCTCCAGGGTTGGAAAGAGTCCCCTGGCAGGGAATTGGCACCCATTATGCCCCTCCTCTCTCTCTTACTGTCTACTGGAAATGTCCCCATCTCCCTTTGAGTCCTCCTCCAGGGCTACCCAGGAGCCTCATTATCCTCTGTCCTGAAATCATCACAATGGCCAGACTGGCCTCAGCTCAGGGCCTCTGTGACATCACCAAGGGCCTGGCACCAGGTGCCCAGTCTTCCAGTTGCAAGAGCAAGCAAACCCATCATGAGCAATTCCCTTCCCCATCTCTGCTTACCATGTGGATGCTGAAATGGTTCCTGGTCCTGCTTCTGTGCCTCATCTACAGCTATGCCTTTATGTTCTCTCCTCTGAGAGAGAAAACTAATGAGCCCCAGGGGAAGGTGCCATACGAAGGGCACTTTCGGATTCGGCAGAGTCCAGCAGAGCACACCCAAGGCTGGCTTGGGAACAAATGGCTCTGGCTTTTGTTTGTTGTTGTGCTGTATGTGATACTGAAGTGTCGAGGAGGCAGTGGCAAGAAAAAGGTAAGGATGGCTCCATTTTTTTACACCACATTGATTCAATCTCAGGAGTCTCCGAGTCTCAGGGAAACGGATGTTCTAGTGAGTCTGGGCGGGACTGTTGCATACGATGAACCCACCTCATGGTCCTGGGCAAAGCTGGCATATTCCCTTCCTGATGTATCCTTAGTGAGGACAAGTCCCCAGAACCACAGATATCGGGACAAACAGTGGAAGATGACCTTCTGCTTATTGGCTCCCAGTTTTTCTGGTTAGGTGGATTTTTTCAAATGTAGGATAGATTCAACAACTTATGGTGTGTTTCAGAGATTCAAAATTATTCACAGGGCCAGATTCACTGTCCCCTGGTTTTTACATTTTTCCTAGTGTTTGACTTACTACAAATTCCTGAGCTAAATGGAAATGGTATTATTACTGAACAAAATAGGAGACTTGTGCTAAAGAGATAAAGGTGTAAAGTAGTTTGAGCTGGGCCTCAAAGTGACCATCAACAACTCTTTCAGGCAAAAGGGGAAAGGGAGAGAAAGTGTGTTCTCCCCTAGAAAGACCCAGCACATCATGATATTGTGCCCAAATCCATGAGAGCAGGGATTGGCAAACTGTTTCTGTAAAGGACTAGGGAGGGTGGGAGTAGGTACAGCTCTGTGGGCAGTATGGTCTTCCTTGCAACTACTCAAGTCTGCTATTGTAACATGAGAGCAGCCTTAACTATACAAATGAATGAGCATGGTCATGTCCCAGTAAAACTTGATTTACAAAAACAGGCGGTGGGCCACATTTGGCCACAGTCTGCCAATGCCTGCATTAGAGACTGCTCTAATGCAAGAACCATCTTCTCTTAAATGGGCCCAACCCTCTTGGAACTGTGTCAAAACCAGCAAAGTCCACCATATTATTGACTTTGAGTATCTTTCTCGACAGGAGCCGAATCCTCCTGGCCTTCGAGGCAGCCAATTTCGCACTCCACTAAAGAAAAGTCAAAATGCTTCCCCCAACAAAGACTGTGCATTCAATACCTTGAACCAACTCGAGGTGGAGCTTGTGAAATTTGTGTCCAAGGTACGGAATCTTAAGGTTGCCATGGCAACAGGTGGTGGCAGCAACCTCAGGCTTCGAAGGTCAGAGATGCCTGCAGATCCACACAATAATATCACGATCTATGAAATTTGGGGAGAAGGCGGCTCTAACTGAATGGATTTGTGTGTCAAAAAAATAGAGAAAAAAAGTTGAGTATTGACAAACTGTATACAAACTAATAAAACTATTCTGAAGAACTTCCACATTTGAGATCTTGCTTATTTTCTTTTTTCACGAGAAGGAAAAGTGAATGTGAGACCAGCAGCCACAGCAGTGGTGGTTTTGGTTTTGCCTCTCTCACGTCCTCTAGAGCTGTGGGTGGTGAGAGGGGCACTGAAAGCTACATAATAGTATGCGATGACCTCGTGCTTCCGTGCAATGGCAGCGGGTGGAGGACGGAGCTGGGGAAATCTGGGATAAGATGCTGAGGTCAGTCCATAAAAACTCTTGTTTTCTTTTCTATAGTATCTATTTGTGCCAGACGCAGAACTGCTTTTTATCTCTGACACATTACAAAAGACGACTTTAATGACAGTTTTTAGGTGGCAAAATGATTCATTTAGGAGGGGTGTATTCTAGAGTCCGTCTGATTCTGTCAGCACCACAAGAGTCCTTTCACTCATTCCATTTCAAAGTTTCCATGTATTGACTCTTCCCTCTACCAAACTAGCAGTTACATTTGTCAATAGTTGGATTAAGAAAAAGGGAGAGGCCCGGGCGCAGTGGCTCACACCTGTAATCTTAGCACTTTGGGAGGCCGAGGTGGGAGGATTGCTTGAGCCCAGGAGTTTGAAACCACCCTGGGCAACATAGTGAGATTCCTTCTCTATTATTTTAAAATAATAATAATAATAAATATTTAAATTTTAAATAAAACATAAAAATAAAATAAAAATAATTGTAAACACTATTTTAAAAATTTAATAAAAAAGAAAAGGGAAACAATTCATACTTTCTATATCACTGAGGTTTTGAATACAGACATGCTAACATCTGTATCAAAATCAGTCAATATGTACTTTGTCCTACTTATTTAAAATATGGGTATTTTACATGTTAGTGTGTCTGACTCTGCACATACTTACAAATATAAGGCCCCTACTGACCTCTGAGCCCATCCTCCTCATTTAAAAGGCCAACCTGATGGTTTTGTAGACACGCCTGTGTGTGGCTGGAGACAACAGTTAGTTGTGGGACACTATGGAAATCCCTTTATTTAACTTCAGTCCAAACTTCCGGTGCCTGACAGAGAAGCCCTGAATCTCCACCACCTTCCTTGCCAACCACAAAGCCCACTCCCATTATTTGCACGAGGCTTTCAGGATCCGTTCCGCACTGGCAATTTTCTTCGTGTGTAGAAGGTGGACCTCTTGTAAAAGGTCCTTGAACATTTTGCTTTTTGACTTAACTCTCAGGTTTCAGCATGGGAGAAATGGAAGGAGCCAAGATCACTCCTTTCGCTTTCCATATTAGTTATGAGTGTTCTCAAGCAAAACAGAGCATGTGAGTCATTGTCACAACCCACTCTGAAGAAATCCAGCTAAGAAAAAAAAAAAGGTAGCCAGGTGCGGTGGCTCACACCTGTAATCCCAGCACTTTGGGAGGCTGAGGTGGGCGGATCATGAGGTCAAGAGATCGAGACCAGCCTGGTCAACATAGTTAAACCCCATCTCTACTAAAAATACAAAAAAAAATTAGCCAGGTGTAGTAGCATGTGCCTGTAATCCCAGCTACTCGGGAGGCTGGGGCAGGAGAATCTCGTGAACCCAGGAGGAGGAAGTTGCAGTGAGCTGAGATCACACCATTACACTCCAGCCTGGGTGACAGTGTGAGACTCCATCTCGAAAAAAATAAAATAAAATTTAATTTAATTTAATTAAAAAGAAAAAAATTGTTTTAACCAGTAATCTCAAGATGGGGCAGGTTTTAGATTTTCTTCATTTAACCAGTAGATACTTAGACCCACAGTCAGCAAGCTATAGCTCACAGGCCAAATCTGGCCACCTGCCTATATTGGTACAGTCTTGTGAACTGATTGATAATGGTTTTTATATTTTTTCATGGTTAAAAACTTCAAGCAGGGTGTGGTGGTATGCGCCTGTAGTACCAGCTACTCTGGAGGCTGAAGGAAGAGGATTGCTTGAGTCCAGGAGTCTGAGTTCAGCCTGGGCAACATAGTGAGACCCCGTGGCTACATATATAGGTGTATATTTGATGACATGAAAATTACATAAAATCCAAATTTTAGCGCCTATGAATTTTTACTGGAACACAGCCACACTCTTTAATTTACATATTATCTACGGCTGCTTTTGTGCCACATAATTTCCATATTGTCTATGCTTTGTGCTTACAATGGCAGACTTGAATTATTGCAACAAAAACCAATATGGCCCACATGTATTTACTAACTGCCCCATGACAGGATAAGTTTGCCAACCTCTAATTTATGCTAATCTCATATGTTAACAATGAGAAGCCTGCACGGTGGCTCACGTCTGGAATCCCAGCACTCTGGGAGGCTGAAGTGGGTGGATCACTTGAGGTCAGGAATTCAAGGCCAGCCTGGCCAACATGGTGAAACCCCATCTCTACTAAAAATACACAGTTAGTCAAGTATAGTGCTGGGCATCTGTAATCCCCACTACTTGGGAGGTTGAGGCAGGAAAATCACTTGAATCCAGGTGGTGGAGGTTGCAGTGAGCCAATATTGCACTTTCTGTTAACCTGTTCCTTGTTTCTGCCTTCTCCCCATAGACAGGGACTGTGATATTGTGATTCATAATCAGAAATAAGTATTTGGTCCTCATCCCTCCCCACTTCCTGGCATACAACTCCGAAATCCCTCGGAATTTCCAAAGTAAGTTCTGGTGGCTAGAAGCACTTGGAAAGCCTCAAGATAGAGGCTGGTGATTAAAACATCTGTGATTGGAAGTTTGGACCTTTCAGTCCACCCCTCAACTCCCAAGGAGGAGAGAGGTGCTGAAGGTTGACTTGATCTCCAATGACCAGTGATGTAATCAATAGTGCCCATGTAATAAAGCTCCATAAACACCCAAGGGACTGGTGGCCCGGTGGCTCATGCTGTAATCCCAGCACTTTGGGAGGCCAAGACGGGCAGATCACCTGAGGTCAAGAGTTCAAGACCATCCTGGCCAACAAGGTGAAACCCTGTCTCCACTAAAAATACAAAAATTAGCTGGGCATGGTAGCGGGCGCCTGTAATCCCAGCTACCTGGGAGGCTGAGGCAGGAGAATCACTTGAACCCAGGAGGTGGAGGTTGCAATGAGCTGAGATGGTGCCACTGCACTCCAGCCTGGGCGACAGAGCAAGACTCTGTCTCTTTGTTGCTTTGAAGTCTATTTTATCAGCAAAAATTGCAACTCCTGCTTTCTATTTATTTATTTTTGCTCTCCATTTGGTTAGTAAAATTTTCTCCATCCCTTTGTTTTGAGTCTTTGTGTATCCTTGCATGTGAGATGGATCTGGAGGTAGCATACCAATGGGTCTTGGCTTTTTTTGCCTGTCTGTGTCTTTGAATTGGGGGATTTAGTCGAGCAACTAAAGATCAAGCAACAAAGATCAAAAGAAGCAAAGAAGGATATTACATAACAATAAAAGGATCAATGTAACAAGAAGAGCTAAAGATCCTAAATATATACGCACCCAATACAGGAATACCCAGATATATAAGACTTATAAAGAGACTTGGACTCCCACACAATAATAGTGGGAGACTTCAACATCAATATTAGACAGATCAATGAGACAGCAAGTTAACATCGATATCCAGGACTTGAACTCAGATCCGGAACAAGTAAACTTAATTAACATTTATAGAACTCTCCACTTTAAATACACAAAATATACACTCTTATCAGTACCACATCACATCTATTTATAGGTTTAAATGAAATATTGGTTGGCTGCTTGTTAGTTATTTTCTTCCTTCATTTTTTTTTTATGTCACTATTATTAAACACAATTACAGGCATACCCATTTTTAGACTGCATTCTAGCCCAAGCAATAAAGCAACACCCCTGTTCTCTCTCCCTCTTCCTCTTCCTCTTTCTTCCTTTCCTTCATTCTTTTTCTCTTTTTCTTTTTCTTTTTAATTCTTTCTCTTTCTTTCTCTCTTCCTCTTAAAAAAAAAAAGACTCTGTCTCAAAAAACCAAACCAAAACAAAAGAAAAACAAGAAAAAAAAACACAAGGGACAGTGTGCAGAAAGTCTGGATAGCTGAGCACCTGGAGGTTCCTCCACGCCCCTTCCCCCTCACCTTGCCCTGTGTACCTCTTCCGGCTGGCTGATCATCTGTATCCTTTGCAATATCCTTTACAAAAAAAAAAAAAAAATGACAAAAGCGTCTCCCTGAGTTCTATGAGACACAGTAGCAAATGAATCAAGCCAGAGGAGTGGGTCATGAAAACTCTCAGTCTCTAGCCAGTTGGTTAGAGGTTCAGGTCAGCCCGGGACTTGTGGGTGTCTCCTGAAGTGGGAGGCAGTCTTGGGGGCTGAGCCTTCATCCTGTGGGGTCTGATGCTATTTCAGGTAGGTAGTGTCAGAACTGAATTGGAGGATCCCCTGCTGGGGTCTGCTAGAGAATTGTTTGGTGTATAAGAAACGCCCTCACCAACACACACATATACATTATAGTGACCAGAGGTAGAATGTGCGGAGTGTGAGCGCATGAACAATGGTTTTGTTTCTCTTGCCATTTGTTTTTTTGTTGTCGTTTTTGCTTTTGATTTTTTGAGATGGAATCTCACTCTGTTGCCCAGGCTGGAGTGCAATGGTGCAATCTCAGCTCACTGCAACCTCTGCCTCCCAGGCTCAAGGATTCTCCTGTCTCAGCCTCCTGAGTACCTGGGACTACAGGCGCATGCCACCACGCCCAGCTGATTTTTGTATTTTTTAGTAGGAACAGGGTTTTACCATGTTGGCCAGGCTGGTTGTGTGTGAACTCCTGATCTCAGGTGATCTGCTCGCCTCAAGTCCCAAAGGACTGGGATTATAGGCATGAGCCACCACACCCAGCTGAGTTTTAAAAATTATCAGGTTTCAATAGTGCAGTGTTCCTGTGCCCATCCCACCCAGCTATGTCCCTGAACG